CTGGCTGCTCCTGTCGCTTCCCACAGAGGACAGTGATCTTCTCCATCCCTTCCTTTCAGAAGGGGAAAAGCAGTTGGACATTAAGCAAGAGAATTGTGCGAGCAGAGCTGGGCCCACAGTGGTTTTCTCTGCTTGATTGGGAGGTGAGGGAAATAGCGATGAGATGGAGCCTGGTCTGGTGGATGCAGCTGAAGTTCAAGAGCAGCTTGTGAAACAGGAGTTTGGTGGCAGCACCTGGTGTTTATCATCCTTTAGTGTTATACTGGCTGGGTCTTGCCATTCTTGACTATATTCTTGTCTCTGTAAACATAGCAGGAACAGAAAGAGATCACTTCAGTAATCTTTTGTGCTATAATGCTATATTGTGCAGTGTGACTTGCTGCATGTTATAATAAAAACACTCCATTAATTGCCCCGTAACTATACTGATGTTTGTTGTATGAACACAGCCTTAAATAATCACCAGAGGGTGAAAAATGCCCTATTGTGCTTTACTTGATCATTTATTTTAGCCAGAAATAAAACTGTAGAAATTACGTGATATTCAAGTTGATGTTCATTAGGACTAACACCTTCTTAACTTGCTTTACTAAGTATGAAATCAGGTATGATGTAGTTTTATCAAATACTTACTGCTAAAAGTAGCAGGTGAGTGCTCATTCTGCTGATGTGAAGGATGTCGAATTGTTGGTAGAAAGTGTAAAAATACGGTTAAAATCAATATGGATCTTATTTACCAAATGTTATTTTTATTATTCTTTAGGTTCAGGGAAAGTAAATGCTATCTACATAATAGAAAACAATTTAAAAAGTAGACATAATTTCCCCCCTCTTTTGTGTTTCCTTACTATTTACAAGTCTTCATAGATATGTAGCTAAATTATTTCTCCTCATTCTAAGATGTAGTATTGGAAAACTAGTGCATAGTTGTGAAGACTGAAATTCAAGAGGTTGTGAGTAATTTTGGTAAGATTTAGCTAAACTTGGTTTATTAAAGTGAAGGTGTCTGGCTAAATTTCTTGGAAACATGGGAAAGTTAGGGGTCATTCTCAATGTGCCTAATCACAACCTTAAGGACAGCAGCATGGAATGATACTTTAATATCCTGATCTGGAAGATGTTAACTGTGTTACTGAAAGCTAGAAACAAGAGTTCTTAGTTCAGAGTTCCCTGGGTTTTTTAAATGGCATTCATTGACTATGATTTCTCTTTTCATTGAATGATTGATCTTCTGAGTATTTTGTTATTATCAAATATATTTATAAATTATGTATGAAAGATAGTAGTAGGAATCCAGAAGTTCAGCTGAAGTGACATGAATGGTATCTTCAGGTAACGCCAACCAGTTAAGTGTGGAGCTGAATCCTTTTTTATGCTAAAACTGTATAATCTTACAGAAAACACCCAGGATTTGAGTAAACAAAGAGCTGGTTGGTTTGTAAGTATTTTTTCTCCACAGCCAAACAACAATACTATGGAGCTGAGAACTTAAAACCAACATGTCTGGTCTTATAGACAGTGAAAAGTGCAGCAGTAAATGTTCCACGTGGTGAGTGAGACGGTGGCTTTGTAGGAATTCACAGATCTGTTTGCCCTCCCCTCCCCTCCTGGGTTAGAGATGAGTGTGACTTCTTGATAACTTATGTTTTGATTCCTGTTAGGAAATCTTTACATGTTCTCGTTTGCACGGTCATGCTGCCGCCTTGTGGGTATTATTGGAGTGTTGGCAGCAAGTGTGTGTGGTTTGAGCTGGAGAAAGCTGTGGTTGAGGAGCTGTGTGGTTAAGGAGCTCCATGATTAGCAATGTAGATGCTCAGATGCAATTTTCATCTTCAGGGTTGGTCCATAAGGATTTGCATTTTGCTTAAGTCATTTTACTGAGCAATATGTGAATTCGTGTTTTGTGGTTTGGTTTTTTTTTTTTTTTACTACTGATTTTAGAAACTTGAAAAAAAATTAAATGACTTTTGTATGCAACTTTTAAAATTGCAAAATTAGCAAAACTGGGTTTAAGAAATAATATTCTAACATGTTTTAATGAAATATGAAAAAAGCATCCTAGGAAAACAACCGTCTAGATTTAAACTTTTCTTTCCATTTCATGGAAATATTTCTGGTAAGGTGGCAACTTGCTATCTTTATTTTAGACTAGAATATTGTTAAAAGGAAACTAAGGAAACCCATAGCTCATCCTGTCCTTTTTTCCATATATGCTTTTTTTCCTCTTGAAACTCTTTAATCTGTCAAAATCATTCCCCTCCAGCAAAAATATTTTAGCCTTCTCTAATCATTTATAGATCACTGTCTAATCTGACACTCCTAAACATAAATATAATATTGAACATGGAGAACACTGTTGGGTCATGAAAGGTGGTTAAAGGCTCCAGTTCAGCCTTCCATGGCCACTGTGAGATCTTTTGTTACTCTGATCCATTGTAGCCTACATGAACTGAGCACCATATCTGGTAATTGAACTTGAAAGATTTTAATATTAGAATGTTATCTGAAAATTAATTTCAGGGGTACTGCTCTATGAACTGGTGTGACAGTCAGAACCTCTGATTTGTAGGGTCTGTCCTGCAAGAGGTGCCACTGGAAAATTCATTTGAGTCTTTAGAAGGCTTTTGACTGATGAAATACACTGTCACCTATTTGTGGCATTGATAGTTTTTCTCCACTTTATCTGAGGATAATTTTGTAAACAATGGCAGTGATTATTAATCTTAGTTTAGAAAGAATGAATCTTTTTTGTTTTGAAATGCTCCCTTTGACTTTCTGGCCTGTGCTGATGTGTGTGCTACCTATTTAACTAGAGCATTAGTCTTGCTTTCTCCTGAGACAGCCAGCTGAGATGACAGTTTTAGGGAGAACAGTCGGAGGCTGAATGATGAAGAGATTTAATAATCAGCTGGGTTCACACATGTTAAAGTAACGTGCAGTCATTGAGCAGGGGACCCTCTCAAGGGAATGCTAACTCCAGTGCTATCAAAAGAATCTACTGATAAATTTAAAACATATTGACTTTGTGTGGCATGCAATCAAAAGCTGGTGGCAGTAACACAGCGGGGTTCTTAATCACTTTGCTGTTACAGTCGTGCTCCTGCTGTCATATTTCTAAAGGTTCATTTGTTAATTTGTTGAATAGAATGCTTAAGCAACTTGTACAGTTTCCAACTTCTGTGCTAAGAGTATATGTAGTGTAATATTAGACTTCCAGATAGCATGAGGGAGATTTGGGAAGGAAATTACTACGTGTGTTTGCAACACTATGTGGCACATATTCTCATGGGTTTAAAGAGGCTTTTAAATCTGTTTGGATCTTTAGAATTTTGTTTGCTTGTGGGGATGTAAGTCTTGTCAAGCTGAACACATGATGGGAAATACTGGCTAAGTTAGTACACATACCTCTTCAGGCTGAATATATTACTTGAGTATTCTAGGAATAGCAATGTGGATTATAGCTGCCAGCGCTGCAGCTGAGTATTGGGGTTTTGTGCTGGCAAAATTTGAGTGCTGACTTGGTTTGTCTCTTTAGCTGGAGTGTTAAAACAGCGATGGCTACTTAGAACAAGTTGGAGTGGTATTTGTCTGGTGTACTGCAGCTAGAAAGATGATCTCTTTGGGAGGAGGGGGAATGACAAAATACTAAATAAACAAACAAAAAAGTAATCTCTTTAATTCAAAGGCAGTATGAGTCGTACAAGTAGAATTTTGTCAAGACAAGCCCATTTGTCCTGGTATGAACTGGACTCTTCTTCTTCCCTTTCTGGTGAAGTGATCTTCCACAACAAAGACATCATCTTATTTCAGCCATTATCATATGATACTTTCATTCTTTTCAACAAAAGATCTTGAAAATTACTTCTGGGAATATATATATATATATATATATATAAAATGGAAAGTAATATAAACGTTTATTTCTAGAACAAAGTTTGCTCCTGCTCCACAGAACCCTGCAGAAAAGGAGCTGGGGGTCCTGGTTGACATGAAGTTAAAACATGATTTAGCAGTGCACTGTTGGGGCATCAAAGGCTAACAGCATAGTGGGCTGTGTAACTAGCAGGTCAAGGAAAGTTGTTATTGTTCCCTCTTCTTGGCAGTCCTGAGGCTGCATCTGAAACACCGTGTTCATCTCTGGGTCCCACAGTCTGATGCAGGTGACAGAAAAGTGAGGCCAACAAAGGGGAGGCTAAGAGGGTGAGGCAGGTGGAACAGCTGGTGTGTGTGACAAGGTTAAGGGAGGTAGGGAAGACTCAGGGAAGTAGGTAGGTAGGGAAGGTAGGGAAGAATTCAGAGGGAAGACTCAAAGGAAACCTAAATGCTGTCTTCCACTGCCTGAAGGGGTGGGGGATTCATGTAGAAGAGAGATCCAGATGCTTTTCAGAGGAGCACAGTGAAAAGGCAGGAGGAAACAATGTGAAGTTGCAAGAAGGGACATTCCAATTGGGCATAATTAAAAAAAAAATCATTGCTGTTTTGATCAAGTGATTCAGTACTGGTCTTTAAAGCCTCATCAATGCTTTGGATCAGGATTTTTTTTTAAGAGCATGTAGTTAACTAAAAAAGATGCCATTTCTCAGAGTGCTGTAATGAAATATCATTGTGCTTCCTGTTCTGATCCATCTTTGTATCAGGTAGAAAGAAAATTACATATACTTAGCTTTTTTAAAGCTAGAAAAAAGAAAACTGAAGTAGGAAAGTGAAAAGATAATCTGCAGTTCAAGGAAGATTAATGCTACTAGACAGTCTGTGAAAATTAAAACCCCAAATGCATGCTTCTGTCCATGATAGCAAAGAATGTAAACTTCTAGTTAACTCTTAACATTGGGGCTGTGTGGAACAGCAGACATGTGCTGGTTTTAATTACTTTAACTGTGTAATATAAATTATACATATTAAGCTGCATTTTGATCTGATTTTTTTTTTTAAATAGCACTGTGGTAATATCTTAAGTGGTTCACTCAAACTTCGTAGTTATACTTTCATATTTTAATGTTGGCAGGTGGAAGTTTTCTCAGATTCTTGTCCTTGTACTACTAAAATTGTCCCTAACTAAAGATGCATCCAGACCTGTCTCCTCATCTGCACACTGAAGAATGTAACCTAATTATCAGTCTGCTCAAGAAGTGTCACAAGGAGGTAAGGAGTTTTGAGCAGAGAAAAGAGTGGGTGGGTTGGGGAAATGAGTGTCAGATAAATTAGTGAGAATATTATATGATCATAGAGAGAAAAACCTCCTCTGGGCAGAGCAGCCACGAAATGTAGCTAGTACAATTTCACTGAAGATGTGTCTGACAACTGTGTATAAAATTTTACCAGTGATTTCTTTAGGAAGGAAAACATGCCTTAAAATTTCCTGTGCTACAGCTTGACAAGTATGGGCCTATTTTAAGAAATGAAAGAACTTTTGCACCTTCTAGTACTGTGTGCCCATCAAAAAACAATAATAAAAGCAACTTGAGATGCCCTCTTTGGTACGCTCATGGCATTTCCATGTTCCAGCTGCCCACTGGGCAGATGCTTCAGTGTTTTTATAAGCAGATGTGTTGTCGGGCACGCAGGATGCCTTAGGTTCAGTGCTTGGAGAGCTAAATGTGTTTGACTTCCATTGTCTTACTAGGCACCTACCCAAGGATGTAAAATGACAAATTGTCTTCAGGTTTCTCAAGGTTCTTCATTGCTTCAAGAAGGTAGAATCTTCATCTCGCTCATTTAAAAGCCTTTTTAAAAAAATTTGCTCTGTAGTAGACCTTTAGATGTAGAAGAGTCAACCCCTGCAATGAAAGCTTTGTTACTATATTGTTATTTTCCCAGTTCTCCTGTATACTCTAAATAGATGTATTTAAGTGTTGAATATGAATGTGAAATGTGAAAACAATGGTTTACACCATTACATGCAATCTATGATATTTTCATCTCCATGTTCAGATGTGATGTTTATACTTTTTTCATAATGCAGTTATCCATAAATTCTAAGACAATACATATGTTACTGTTTTGAGCAGAATTCTAAATTTTTCTTTGCAAAAGTGGTTACAGAAAGAAAAGCAAGGCTGATAATACAGGAAATGTTCAGTAGCTGGAATTACGTGAGAAGACTCCCCTTGTACATTAGCTGCTATGGTATCAAAAGGATTGCCAAATAAAATGACCATCAGTTCAGAGGAGAATAAAACTTCTACAGGCAATATAAAAATAATATGTTGTCATTAATTTTTCGTAATCGTGAAAACAAATCCAATCAGGAAAGAAAATACACTGGGATTTGTCCTGCTTTTTGGTACATACATAGTTGGGTTTTCTATGCTTTGATCAGAGAATACAGAAATATTCATTTACTACTTGAAAGTAATGGCTGACAGTGGGGTTTTTTTAATAAAAATGAATGTTGATATATAAGCATCACAGGCTTTTTGTATAACGTAGCTTATTAGACTACCTTGAGTTTAAGAGGGAACTGGAATTCCTTGGCAGCAAGTTGATTCAAAGGAATCTGTTGCCAGTTTGACATATGAAGGGACTGGGAGCAGCAATCATAGTCATGCAGAGGATTATATTCTCTTGGATTTGTTTGAAGTTGATCTTTATATGAAGAGGAATTACTTTTATCAGTCTTGTGCTCAACTATGAGAGGGTATTTGTGCTGGCAGTCTCAGAACAGAAAGGGTGAAGATGGCATCTTTCACACTCAGTTGAAAGGAAGCAATGCCTTTTCATTTGAAATCCAAGGGGATTGTACTGAAATATTCCTTTAAAATTGAAGTCACTGAAATCTGAAAAGTCAGTGATCTTTATCAGTTATTAGTGACTACCTGCTGCTTTGTTATAATGCCAAAACGACCTAAGAACCTTATTCTGCAATTTAAATTAATATTCCTGAGAGATGAAAAGCATTATTTTTTAAATTGGGTGTCCTGTGTGTGCATTTTCACAAAAATCAGTTTGATTTAAATGATTCCTAATCTGGAACCTGTGCATTATATCAAGTTTTGCATCTAGTGGGGAGAGGTTAATGGGATCCCTATTTGATGTCATTGATTGATTGATTTTTTTTTTTTAACAACTCCTCTGGTGCCAAGTGTGTGCTTTCAAGAGACTTACAGGTGGCAGCTGGAAGAAATGCATATTGTCTTGCAATTATATCACTGTAATAGGCATAATTACTTTTGAGAAACTGATTCTTTTTTCCTCGTGATCTGAGCCAAAAAAATGACAGTTTAGGAATCTGGGTAAATAAATGTAGATTCAGCTCACTGTATGCACTAGTAAGAGTGGAGTTAGATTGAAATGTGAGTGCTCACCTTGAAATTTAACATACAGGTATGGGAATAGAATACAAAATTAAATCTGTATTAGCTAAAATGACAATGTTGTAAAAGCAAGATCAGCTTGCAGTAAAGCAACCATTTATCACATGCAACTGCTTCAGAGTGTCATATGATGCCCTTTATAAAGCAGAGAGGTATAAACAAGCTAATTATAGCACTGCTATAGTTAAATGTTTGTCATAGTCTTTATTAACTGACTCCGACTTTCAGTCATGTTCTGTTGGCTGAAATCTTGTCCACTGTTTGAATTCTTAGTAGTGTTCCTGTAGTACTCCATAAAATAAAAAATAAATCCATCCAGCTGCTCACCAGCTACAGAAATCATAGAATCATAGAATGGTTTGGATTGGAAGGGACCTTAAAGATCATCCAGTTCCAACCGCCCTGCTATCATGTGCATGGGTTTCCCTCTGAAACATGAAAGTGACTTCATTCTCATCTGTTTTGTTCCTCATGGTTTTTTAAAAAATGTCTTAGTTCTCTAAAAGATTGGTTGGATTGTCTCTGTTGGTTGTATAGTTGTAAATATACACTAAAACCTCCACTCCTTCAGGTCTCTGCTATGTGCTTGGATGCTCTGCTACGTGATTCTGTGGCAGGGGAGCAAGCATCACTCTGAAAAAGTCATCCTTTTAGAAGAATGCATTCTGAGAGTGATTTGATGGCTGATAATATAAAATCACTTCAGGAAATCCTGGCTAAGAGGACAGATTTTATGGTGAATATCATCAGGTTAGCCAGGGAATCCCTTCATGAGGACAGTGCCTGCAGTAGCTCTAACGTCTATCTACTCAATAAAAAACTTAAAGTATCATTTTTCAGAAAAAGAGAAAAGGAAAAGAAGACCAGGAAATGTTGCAAATGCAAGTGACTTCTAAGAAATTTAGAGCTTCAGAGGAGGAAACCTTTGAATTGTAATTTTCTTTTCTCTCCCTAACTTACCAGCACAACATTTTGAAATTTTTTGGCCATTGCAATGATATTGACCGTGAGATGCGGAAGTGCTTAAAGAAAGAGGTAAGGAACAAATTTACTACAAGTTAAATGCTTAAGGAAAAAAAAAAGTCCTTGGGATAGAAATAGAGTTGCTTTTTACTAAGTAGTACAAATCAATAAATAGGCCTTGGAATGTAAGCACATTCTGGAGTGGGCATTTGAGACCAAATTTAAACTGGTTTTGATAAATTTGTCAGTTAAAATCTGGCTTTAACAAATGGTGTGGTCTATTTTTGGATATAAAAAACCAGGCAAACACACATTTCAACCAAACAAATGTTGCAGATAGGAACTGACACTTCACAGGTTGCTTCTGATTTTATTTATTTTATCTTTTTACTAGTGTTATTCGCACAGAGTAGAATATAAAGCAGTAAAGGTCACTTCTGCATGAGTAACACTTCATTACTGAAGTCAGTTATGCCGACTGAAACTACTTGATGAGTTGCTGAGTTAGGCCCTAAATGAAGATATTGCTGTTTAGGACCTGGTCCTTGCCACACTACATCTGCAGATAGGAAGGAACAGAAGACTTGAGGAGTTTAAGTAGATTAACTACATAGTGGGCACATTTTCAGAAGAACATCAACTAGTCTTTGTATTTGTGATTGTCATGCCTACAAGACAGAACATATTAATGAACTTTGGACACACCTTTTAACTTGAAATTGTACTTACTAATTTTGACATGAATTTCACAGTCGTGTCTAAAAAGCAAAATTTCAAGTGCATGATAGCCAGGACAGTTTGGGCCTCCTCATTTCTCTCTGTCAGTCTTTGAGAATTAATTTAATCTCACTGTGTCAAATCCTTCTCCCCCCCCCTAAAAACTGTTACACAGATCTGGAAAATAATGAAGTGAAGTTTCTTTCCATGTAACCATAGTTTTCTTTGTTCCATTGAAGCCTTTGTATTAAAAGGAGTTCTTGATCACTATATTTGTCTTCCTTCTTAAATTATGGCTGCATTGATGTACTAGGAAGCCCCTGAAAGGCTGCTCACAAGTATAGAATAGGTACAGATGTAGCTTTTAAAGATCCATTGTACTCATTCCATGTAAAAACATGGATGGGTTATTGAAGAATTAAATATTGGCATGGGAAAAAGTTAAGTATTCTGGAAATGTTAAGTAGTATTTCAGGCCATTATTTGAGTTATAAACCAATCAGTATAATGAGTGAAAAACTGCAAATCCTTTCCACAATCAATCTCCTTAGTAGTTTATTACATTATATAGAGAATTGAGTATTTGTGGGTTACTTGGGTTTTTATTCTTGATACCAATTATTAAAAAATTGAACAAATATATGCTTTAACTTAAGGCCAAGAATAATTTGCTTCTCATGAAATATTTATCAAATCATGCATTGATTTTTAATTTTTCATTTCTTTTAGCCATGAAAAGGTTTCCTTTTTGGCTGCTATGGAAGAAAATTAGGCTCTTCAGGCTTTTGCTAGTGCAGAGGCATACTTGAAAGCATGGTCTCCTTATGCATGTATCTAAACTGTGAAGGCTTTCTTGATTCCACTTTACACTGGAATCCCGTCCCTGTTGTGTTTCTTTGTGAAACCATCAAAAACCCCAAAATGCTTTACCCTTATTCAACCCAAATTTGCCTTTCTTCCTTTCATCTTGATATACTGCTTCATCTGTGCATATAATTAATGACCAGGATCAAAACCAGACCAACTCTGTCATGACAAATTCATGTTTCAAAAGGCAGACACACAGTAATCAGTGTCTTTCAAAAGGAAAAGAGCCTGACCTGTGCTCTAGAATAGCACCAGTGCAACTTTTTTCTAGCTCATATATGAAGTGTAGCTGTCCTACATAAGATGGCTGCATAATTAAATTCCTTCATAAGATTAACTGATTCTTCTTTATTAGGATGTTCTAATACTTTTTAGCTTAATAACCTCAAACATAGAAACATGTATTTTAATCAATTGCATGTTAATTTCAAAGTAAATATTAACAAGAACTGCATTTCTAATGCATCAAAGATACTGTTTCTGTTCTCGAGTAATAAACACTCTCTACACGTTTAAATTTGACTTATTTGTTTAATGGTAACAGCTGATCTATTACTTTTCTTATTTGTCTTCCAGTATGAAGAAAACAGGGCCAGGAACCAGGCCATACGACGGAGGGTAATTGATGCTCACAAAAACCCAGAGAAGTGAGCTGTACTGCAGTTGGACAGCTGCATCTCAATAGGGACACTCAGTTGAAAGTTGACAGAATACTTCTTTCCCATCACCAGGGCTCAGCCTGTGGTTTGTGAGATTATGAAAAAATAAATGCAGCTAATACATAGTCATTCCCAGCAAGGAAACAACACGGGGGAAAAAAATATAATAAATGATCACTCACAACTTAATTTTTGACCTCTCAAAGAAAGCTATCGCGGCACGTCTTTGTTCTGGCACAGTTTTGTTACGATTGTTAAATCACGAGGAATCAGTGTGTGGAGTATTGTGTATTCAAGGTTGCTGTATTCCCTACCTTGTGCTGACTTCCATTTATTTCTTTGTGTTTAACAGTTTCTCTTTCATATCTTGTTTTTTGTTTTGTTTTGGTTTATTTCCTTGCAAAACCTTGAATGACTTTTCCCATCGCTCTCTTTAGTTTTGTGATAACATTGTTTAAATGAATTAGCAAAAAGAATTTTTAAACAGATGTGGCTTTAAATTGGAAATTGCCTATCAAGTAATAATTGGAGTTCTAGTATTTTTGTTGAAGCTGAAATGAGGAAATGACCATCTTCCACTGAGAAGATTAAAAATCCTTCCTGACAACTGTATGTATAGTGTAGACTGTTGTAAGATAATTTGTTCATAATACTTAGAATCATAGAATCCCAGACTGGTTTGGGTTGGAAGGGACCTTAAAGCTCATCCATTTCCAACCCCCATGCCAGCAGCAGGGACACCTTCCACTAGACCAGGTTGCTCAAAGCCTCATCCAGCCTGGCCTTAAACACTTCCAGGGAGGGGACTTAAAGCAAGTCACTTAAAGCAAGTGGCTTTAGAAATTCAGAATGGAACATTTCCAGGGATTTACAAAATTTTGCCTTGATTTTTGTCAAGTACAATCAAATGTGTACTGAGTGATTTTTTTGAAAAGGAGTGCTGCCAAAAATATAAGCTAAATAGTTCTTACACATACTCTGGTACAAAGGTGAAGTCAAGTTATGACTATTGCTGTTGAAGGAAAACTACACTGAAGTGAAATAGTGTAACTTACCTTTCAGTTAGGCAAGTCAACTAGTATTGTGTTAACCAAGTTGCCTCGTTAGCCTACAAGAGCTGTTTATTTGCCATCAGACTGCAGAAAGTCCTCAACAAGTCTCTGAATTGAGAGGATTTGATATTAAAACATGTTGGTTTGTGTAGTGATGGAGCTGCTTCTCTGGGTGTCTGCAGGATTTGCCTTATTTTTAAATGACTTTTCTGTTCAGCCTAGCAATGAAAGAGTACTTAAAAAAAATAAATTTTATGGAGCCAAATATATGAAGTATATGAAACCTGTTGAAAAAAGGGCACCTATTCTACAGTGAATTCTATGGCTTGTTTTAAAAAATCATTGTTGATGCTCAGTCTTGAAATCAGTACGTGCACCTGTTTTTGGAAGAAAGCTGTATGTTGTGATCCATTTTGAACAATTAGATAGAATAATTTTACTTATTTTTCAATACCTGGATGGACCCGGTTAAATTGGTAAAACTGAACAGTAATGTTTTTGGTGAAAGTTCCAGGAAAAATGAAGCAGTTGCTTCTGCATCTTTCGACACGCTGTCTGCTTTCTTAGAACAAGAAAATGATGCACTATTTGAATTAAATACTCAAGTGGTTGGAAGTGGTGCAGTCTTTTTATTGGTACTCTTCAGAATACTTGTATAGTGAAGTTCCCTAACTGGGAACTCTGCATCCTTGATCCTTCTTCTATTTGTGATGACAAAATCTACTCCAGGCAAGCTCCTAAATAGGATTTAGTGATGCTTGTAGTCTTTAAGTAAATAAATAAATTGAGAATTGTCCTAGAGATTAGGTTGAGAAGCTGGTATCTGAGTGCAGAAGCACTGAAGCTTTTCTTTCTTTCATCAGCTTCTGTGAGTCCAGTTCTTTCACTAGAATAGCAACAAAATAAGAATCCAAGAGCCACTTAACACAGCTCATTAGTCAGAATCATGTTTTCAGAGGTCAGTGTGCTTAATGAATGAAAGACCAAATGGCGTGCACAATTTATATTGATACTTTGAACTACATTTAGCAATAAATCTATTTTTCAGATAAACTTTGTTTACCTTGTGAAAGTATGATCATGGTTATCCTTCTGTTTCTCTTTGCTAATTGCCCACTCGCAGCGTGATATGAGATTGCCCATTGATTCCTGTGGTTTTGTTCCTTTTTTTTGTTTGTTTTGAGAGAGGTTATGTTGCTAATTTGATCTTGAAGCTGAGAAACACTAGTGTAGTAATACTTACAATTTATCTGACAGAGAAGGTAATGGTGAAATGGTAAGGTTGGGTTTTTTTTTTTGTTGTTTCCTAAAGTGAACTGAGTGCTGAGTAGGGAGCATGTTGAGTGAAATAAACCTTATCTATGAGGACTTTGAAGACACTTTATTGTAATATCATTGTGCATAGAAGCATTTTTCCCATTGTTCTTTCTGAAAGAGCAAGTTTGATTGAAAGAGAAGAAAAGAAATTTGATGGAATTTTCTGTTGTGTCAGAAAACGCAACAGAACATGAGAAGCTCTTAGGCACTTAGTGGGAAAGTGAACAAGGGGGAAATACAAACAGAAGGGGCAAATGGCAGCTGTAACACAGACCTGGCCAGAGCAGTGATGTTTGTCCACATTCAAGTGCAACAAAAGTCTGTAGAATACACAGACAGGTGCAGAGCAAGGGAGTGATAACTACCAGCAAAATCCAAAATCCCTCCAGCTCTACCAGAAACACTATTGGTAGTGCACTTACTCTTGCTGGGAAATGAAATGCTGGCAACAACTTGTTTTCTTTTTTTTTCTTTTTTTCTTTTTTAGCTGACAACAACTTGTTTTCCTTTTTTTCTTTTTTTTCATTTTTTTCTTTT